ACCATCGTGATAATCTACTGACCTCCTGCACATTGCAGGCCATAGAATCTCATATGCACACCCCAATTGCTGTAATAGGCCCAGAACCTCTAATGCAGTCTGACATGATTTTCATAGGTTCTGAGTACTTGCAGCTCCCTTTGACTTCAGTGAGAGCCATAGGTAATCATCACCTGAGAAAGTCGAACCACTTTTGTTAGGGTGGCTTCATATGGATTTAGGTTCTTTGCTTTAAGCTCCCAGAATTGAAACTGTGGGCCTGAACATCTATGAGGTAAAATCTTTAAGATTATAGAAATGACTGCCGTATTGAAAAAGGAAATCCCTTTTAAAAAAAATATAACTATAGGAAATGAGTGCTAATTTTTAATTCTACAGGCAGATGAGTTCAAAAAGGGCTTTGCAGAAAGCTTGTTAAAATAATTTATAAATCACGTTGAACTATGGTATCTGTGTAGAGTTTGCTACTTGTCTTATGCAATAGGATGATATATTGACTGCTTTTAAAGCAGTCAGGAAGCAGAGTGTCACTCAGTCACTTTATATGAGTCCATGCCCGCACTCCTTGTGTTACTGTAGACCACTATCATTCTGAAGTTATGGCCTAAATATTTTTAATGTGTTGATTTTTCCAAGGCTAAGAAACTAAGTAAAAACAAAGCTCTGAGAGCTAGTCTGGATTTCCACCAGGTAAAGCAGAATTTGACTCATGGTCCCTGCTTCAAAGATCTTACAATTTAAGGTCTCATTATAGCATTGCTCTGCACAGAGGTACCCAAATTAATTTCAGGAGGAGTTACATATATGAAACTGAGGGTAGTTTTGAACCCTAAATAGTCTACATTCTACCTTGAATTTGATTAATTTAACTAAATAAATTAAGAGAGACTCTTAGGCCTGTGAGTATCAGTCAGCTGCAGGGGGACACCTGAAGGGATCACATGGCAGAATCCGCACCTATACCTAAACCTAAGTGTAATCAGACTGCATATTGAAATAGCAGTCAGTGTGCTTTAAGAAAACAAATCTACAGAATATTAATGTAAAAAACTGCATTACAGTATTTTTATAGATGAAAATTTAACTACTACCCCAGTGAGGGTGATACTAGATCAAACCACCAAGAAAAGTAGTATATTCTCCATCTCTTCAAATCAAGGCTGAATGCCTCTCTGGAACATATGCTTTTAGCCAAACATTAATTATGCTTTAGTCAAACACAAGTTATTGGGCTCAACACAAGCGTAACCGGGTGAAATTAATAGCCTGTGATCTATAGGAGGTCAGACTAGATTATGTAACAGTCTCTTCTAGCCTTAGACTCACCTGTAATGATTATGGTTACAATGTTAACAAACCAAGCATCTCTCAAGTTTAAAAAAAAAGAGGAAGGATGGTGGTTACAGCACAGCGCTAAGAAGACAAGAGATTTGGGGTCTATTCTTAGTGCTCTCTTGACTTCTGCTGTAATTTGGGGCAAGTAATTTAATCTCTCTGATGCAATTTCCTTATCTGTAGAAGGGGGAAATAACACTTATCCATCTCACAAAGATGACTGAAATGTGACTAAAAGCCCAATCTAACGGCCACTGAAATCAATGAGACTTTCCATTGACTTCAATGAGTGCTGGATGAGACCCTCCACAAAAACAGAACCTTTTTACTCAGCTTCTCTCATTATTCCTGAGTATACGTGGGGTTCTAGCTATTCCTCTGAGTGATAAATATAAGCTGTTGCTAATTTTATTCCTCTTAGCTCTGCAGAGTCAAGAGAGCTATGCATGAGTGAGCTAGATTTTACTCCTTGTGTGTGTCATCAACAGCATATTTGGCATGGCTAAATCTGCCCTCAGCTGCACCTATGATGCTGTGTTGCATAAACATAAATGAAGACAGAATTAAGCCTGCAGAATCTTTTTACTGGCGATGATGCATAAGCCAGAAAAAACCCAGGATGACTCTCAGCTCACAGACAGAGGTTAGAGCAAGCTGTTAGGAAAAAAGGATTTTTTTCCCCTTGGAAATTGAACAATTCTGATATAGAAGTAATTTGGGACAAAAACCCTAGAATTTCATGGTGCCACCTTTTCAGTGCCAAACATCATTTTAACATCTCTGAAGTGTTTTGACATGCTCAGATAGCAGGCAGGCAGGAACAAATGGGTTCTGTTCTCAGGAAATTGTCAAAGAGCTGTGGGATGAAATCCTAATTCCCACACTGAAATAAACTCCAAGGGTTCCATGCATTTAGTCCATGTATGCTACTGCTCTTCATATTCTGCAGTAGCTGGACATGGCCTTGGAGACTTCTTTTCATTTTGGGAATTTGGATTCTGCCCTGTAGCTCTTTAGGAATTTCATAAGAGCCACCACCTGTTTATTCAGACGTGCTCACTTTCCCCAATATTGGACCAATATATATTAGAGACTGAATGCTCGGCCATGTCTCAACTTAGCTATGGAATAGTTAAAATACACATTTTCTAGTGTCTGAGCAATCCACATAAAAGACTGCAAATCACGTGCAGGCATACCCAGCCAGATTCAGCCTGTTCCTCTCCTATGCCATGCTGGGGCAGTGCAGATGTGCACTGAGAACCCATTGGGTATCTCTCTATAATGCCTACGTGTCCTCTCTCTTTGGTGTGCTGAGGAGACCTGAAAGAGAGGACTATTTGAAGAGGTGAGGTCTGCTGTATGAGGTCCACTGCTGTTTTTGCCATCCCTCATCCTTGTACAACAGAAATGCTTTAAGTCCCTCTATGCCCATTCAAGTTGCCTTAGTTGCTCAGACTTAAAAAAAATGAAGAATCAAAATCAATCAATCAATCTATCAGTGGTTCTCAACCCGTGGCCTCCTTGAGGCGCAGTCAGCACACAGCTGAGGCCCATCTGACATCCTCAGGGCCATACAGGTAGTGTATGTATATAAAATATTGTGTGGATGCGGCCCACATAACACATAGATTGTTGCATATGCAGCCCACAATGGTAAATAGGTTGAGAACCATTGATTACACTGGTCTACAATTTTTGAGAAGTCGTCTGCTTCAGAGATAAAATGTGTTATTTCTTATGTACTTTGATGTGCTGAATTCAAATATGACAATTAAAACAACTGATTGGCTACTGTTTAAGATATTTAAGTTTTTACATTTTAGGTCTATGTATATTGTGTAGATAGTAGAGTTTTAATCATAAATTGTAAACCTAGGTCTTTTCATGTGTTTATGGTTGCTTTACATGATAATATTTCACCTGTCCTGTTTATGTAACACTTTAAAAATCAGCAAAAGGGTTATATAAATAAAATTTATTATGAAACAAAAGGCAAAAACCGATTATGTACATAGTTTAGTCCTATTCAGTGTCTACTCTGCGCTTCTTGCCTTGTCTCTTGTATTCATTAAATGGAGCATCTCTTGTCACTGTCCATCAATAGTCTGCAAGCATTGATGGGCTCCATTTGCCCTGATAGCGTTTCTCCATTGTTGCAATGTCCTGGTGAAATCGCTCGCCGTGCTTGTCGCTCACTGCTCCGCAGTTCGGTGGGAAAAAAATCTAGATGAGAGTGCAAAAAATGTAGCTTTAGTGACATGTTGC